CACGTTTTATTGAATTAGACAGTAAATTCAAATCATTAAAAAAAATAACGAGGCTTGTTTATCAACAAGATAAATGTAGGGTTAATACAGTGAGTTTCTCAAATTTCTACGTGAATTGAATTTATAGTTTTTGAATACATATTATAAATACCTCATGAATAAGTTCAAAAAAAAATTTAAAAAATACGCCATGGAACCGTATGGGGCCAACGGAAGGGGGCCACCCGGATTGAAACCATTGATAAATTTTGATAAGAGGATTATGCTCAAAATTGAAATCCTGCAACACTACAGTAATCCTATTCCCATTGAATTTCAGAATTTCAATCGCACAAACACAATTGGAGAAATGCTTGCTGATGGTTTTGGTATGGATACTGCGTGGAGGGTCGTGAGAAAATTGGATATGGAAAAAGAGCCGAAAATCATTGGATTCGACAATGACAACACTAGAAAAATATTCTTCCGAGTTGCAGCTCTGGTAGGTCAATTTTATAAATTTGATCTACTTTTAAACTTTTCAGAGCTTCTGTGCTCCACGAGACACGGAAGATATTGACTATGTCGCTCAAAGAGAACATCCGACGGATAGTTTTCGAGTCAATGGAGTGTTTTCGAATATGAAGGCGTTTGCGGAGACGTTCAACTGTCCAGTTGGATCTCCGATGAATCCAAAGAAGAAATGTGAACTTTTCTGATCTTACTCGATTTCGAATAAAACTTTTATAGCGTGACCTCTTACAAAAATCTGGGAAAAAACCTAAATAATAAGAAAAGAAGCAGCAAAAAATCACAAAAAAACCAATGTTTCAAAGTAAGAGCCCTTTAAATTTTATTCAGAACTTTCGCCTATGTATATTCCTGATAGCAGTTTGTGAGTTTCCTAGGCTTTCTGGAACACTGAGACCTTGGATATTCAAAGATCTGGGAATCTAGTTATTTTGTTGTAGTAAACATTCTAGAATTCTGAATCCTTCAGATCGAAATCTGAAAATGGCGTTAAAAGAAAAATGTTCTAATCCGTTGATGTCTCTTGTGATTATTCTGGTGTTGTTGGTTGTGGCACTGATAACTGCTGTGATTGTTTTAAGATTGGACAAGAATCCGAGGATTTCTGGACCACCAGAAGAGTTGAGAAATGCAACTAATTCTCCAGAATCTCTGAATCCTCAGAAGAATAAAATTTACACATTAAAACCATCAGATCCGCCTAAGATTCAGGCGACAAATCCTACAAATTCTCGACAAATATTCCAAATTTTAAGCCAAGAAATGTTTGTGAATCTCCAGAATGTATCACTTTAGCACATCAATTGGTAAGTTGAAATTGTGGAAATCATGAAATTTTGAAAATTAAAATCTGAAAATTACGGATTCTTAACGTTTTTTGGCAAAAAAAACATTGGCAAAAAATTAAACAATTTTTTTCGAGTTGCCGGAAATTAATTTTCCCACCTTTTAGGAACACTTTTTTTCAAGAGAACTTGATCTTTTCGGTGTCTTTATTTTTCTAATTTTTGAAGGCTAATTTGATTTTTGGGGTTTTTTAACGTATGTTTTTTTTAGCAAAATTCAAAATTTAAAGTTGAGAAAATTGGGAAATATCACGTCAACAAATCAAATTTTTCCCGAAAAAAAAGGTCTCCGGCAACTTAAAATGTTTGTGAAGAATTCAGTAATCCTGAATTCTTTGAATTTTCTCAGTTTTGTAGTTCAATCAAAAAAGAGTTTCAGCATAACTGGCAGGACCCAAAAATCGATCCATGCATAGATTTCTACAAACACTCCTGTGGAAAATACAATGAGCATACTGTAGTAGGCGGAACTCCACGATCAAAAAATCCAAAATTATAAAGGGTTTGATTGAAGGTAATTTCGGAAATAATACTTCTAAATATAAGATCAAATTATACTTTTGCAGAACACCTTATCAAAAATGATCCGACCGATTCGATTGCTGAAAATGCTCAAAAAAAAACTTATTATCAAAAATGTGAAAATATGAAAATATCCGAGGATGTAACAGAAAATTCTGGAAGTTAATAATTTTTTTAATGTTTTTAGGACTTTGAGGAAATTTAGAGCAAAGTTTCAAGGACATTTTTGAGGATATAAAGCCAATTGGATCCTGGCCAATTTTGGATCCAAATTGGTGAATGGTTTTTTAGTTAATTAAAGGCAGAAATTAATTAATCACTAATTACAGAAATGCTGATTAACTTGGCGAAACTCGGAAAATATGACAATGGACTTTTCACATTCTTGCCCCAAAGTGCTCCTTGGATTCTAGTTGTTCCAGCCATAGAGAGAAGTGAACCAGGCGAATTTTTGAGAAACAATGTGATTTTTGGCTAATTGTTGCTATAAAAATTCTTGTATTTTGAATGCTTTTCAGGGAATCGAGAAAATTTTGGAAGCAAATGGAGTGCAATTTGATCAACAAACTCTTGATGATGATTTTGACGAGTTTATGACTTTTTATGAGAAAATTCGAAGAGTAGTATTTGAAACTTTAAAAAAAGCTTTTGTCTAACTTTCAGATTCCTGTAGACACACAAAGCATGAATACAGGTCACATCACAGAGCAAATTGAGAGGAATCAAATTCCGAGTATTGATTTTGAGAAAATTGTAGAAAATTTGATAGATTCTCAGAAGAAAAAGGCAGTTGAGATGGTGAAAAATAAGACTTTAATTCATAAAATTGTTTTTTTTTTTGGGAAAAATGACAATGTGAGTGATTGGAGATTCCGGGATTCTGAACATTTGAAAATTTTCGAATTTTCGAAAATTCTGAGTTCATGAAATTTTAGAAATTTAGGTTTTTTGGAAGTTCTGAGATTTTGAAATCCTGAAATTCTGAGAATTTTAAACTCTGAAATTCTGATATTTTGAAATTCTGAAATTCCGAGGTTCAGAGATTCCGTGGTTCTGAAAACTCATTTTTTCCCATTTTCAGCTCGAAACGCTCATTCAAAAAACGTCAAAACGAGTTCTGGCCAATTTCCTCATTATCAATTACATCGATTTATTCACTAAGAGTTTGCTCATAGATCCAGATGACGTTGGAAAATGTGATGAGGTCTAAAAATCATTTTTAGGAATTCTCTTCAATTAAAAAATATTTTCAGATGGCCACTGATAATCTTCCAGAAGCCGGCTTTTCAGTGATTGTGAAAAATCATTTTGATCGAGAAAATATTCAAATCGTCTCGGATTTAGTGGAAGAAATTAAGATAGTTTTGAAGAATTGATTAAGGAATCCACGTGGCTTCATGAGAATACGAAAATAGCTGGAATTCTGAAACTTCGAAAAATGAAGAAAACGATTGGGTACCCAGAAGAGTTTGAGAATCTCGATGAAATTTATAAAAATCTAAACAATTTATAAAAATCTAAAGCCGATGAATCCGAAGAAGAAGTGTGAACTTTTTTGATATGGGCGGAACTTTGAATTTTAATAACATTTTCATTACGTGTCTTCTCAAATAATACAAAAAAAATCTGGCAAAACCCAGAATAAAAAAAGGTTGCAGGCAAAATTATGAATTAATTAGAGGCGAGCCTGAAAGTCAGGAGTTCTTCAAAATGTTACCTGTCATCATTTTTAGGAAAAACTTTCCAAAAATGGAAGTTCGGAGAGTATGCTGGTGACCATTGGACTGATCCTTACCTGTCAAGCTTGTTAAAAAAAGGACGGCACAATGAAAGACAACTACATTTGGTTGTTTGGTATTTCGGACATTTTTCAAAGACGAGGTCAAACTCTACCCATTTTTAGTTACCTGTAGTTGTTGGAACCGGAGGTGTCGACACTGGAGCAAAAGTGGGTGGAGCCTGTGGATCATAACTGCATGCGAAGTAGAAAGCTTCGGTGTCCATGAAAGTGTTCCATTTTGAGTTAACTGTAGATTCGGCTGCATAATTCTGGCTTCCGAGGAAATCGAAATAGGTGAATCCAACTGGAGTTCCATTATCCCAGAACCATTGTCTGTTGGAGTTGTTACGGTTGAGACCAATCCAAAAGTTTACGTTGTTATAGCCAAATGCGGTTCGCGCGTAAGCTGAAGAAGTAGAAATTCATATTTGAGCCTGGATTGATAATTGAGTTCAAAGTTAACATCCTAGAGAACTTACATGCCAAAAAAGCAGAAGTTTGAGCATCGGGAACATACGCTAAATACGATGACGTCACTGGATTCTGATAATGACACCAATTTCGAGCATCCTCGTATGCTAGCTTCTGAGGAACAAATTTGTAGCACAGTCCTTTGACTTCCTTGTCTCCATTGTCAAAACAGGCGCTTTGAACTAACACGAAAAATGAGAATAGTAGAAATATAAATTTTATAAGCATATTGAATAGAAAAATGTGAAAAGCTACTCGGGTGGAAGGTATAAGAAGGGAAAATTTTGAGGGGAGGGAGTCATGAAAGAGGTCTTAAATTTGTTAAAGAGAATCTCTGATAAGAAGTTTGGAAATAGCGGAAAATTTTGGGATGGACAGTGAATAGGGATGGAGAGTGGAAGAAGACGGAATAGGAAATTTGATAAGAACGGGAAGGATTTTTGAAAAAAAATGACGAGCTTGGGGAACAAAAAAGGAAACACCTTAGTTTAGGATCAGAAGTTCAAATTTGAAAAAATTTGTGCGAAAAATGAAGTCAGTCACTTTTGAAGAACCACTGATAAGAATGGTCTTAAAATATCATCTGGTAAGACGAAAGAGTAAACATTTTGTTTGTGTTTAGTTCCGCTTTTTTTCTTAAAATTTTGTTGAGTTCAGTCAATTTTATATGCCAGGTATTTATGCTGAAAATGGGAATTTCTGAAACGTCATTTCAATTTCTGAGGAAGACGAACACCATTCCGGATAAACAAAATTCGATATTTATTGAGTTAAAACATTTATTTTTTTCATTCAAAACAATATATTCTGCTGATTGTCTGGACCTTGAAACATAAGGAGACCAACATTTCATTCAGAAAATGAATATTGAAATTTTCAAAAATTATCATCTGACGCATGTTCGTAGACCTCCCAAAATCACGAAACCACCAAAAAGTGGCTGAAAATTAACAGTTTATCACTCACCTTCAACATTTCCTCGACCGAAAAAAACACGTCTCATTCGAGAAAAATAGAGAATACCAGACTTTCCAAAAGCAACCAATCTCACAAATTTCAACCCAAAAACCTAATCCTTACACATTCTCACTTACCTGTAGTCGTTGGAACAGGAGGTGTGGATACTGGAACATTCGCGATAGTAGTAGTCTTTGGAGGAGCAAAAGTGGGCGGAGCCTGTGGATCATAACTGCATGCGAAATAGAAAACCTCGGTTCCCAGGAAAGTGTTCCATTTTGCGTTAACTGTAGATTCGGCTACATAATTTCCGCTTCCCAGGATGTCGAAATAGGTGAATCCAACCGAAGCTCCATTATCCCAGAACCATTGTCTGTTGGAGTTGTTACGGCTGAGACCAATCCAAAAGTTTACGTTGTTAGAGCCAAATGCGGTTCGAGCATAAGCTGAAAAAACTTCGAGTTAGTAATTTTGAAATTATCTGTGTTTCTAAAAAAGATAGAGACGAGTGACCAACTAACAAAATATTTGGCATACAATTTTTAATATTCCCTCAGTCGAAAACGCTTTGATATCTCTGTCAATCAGCAAGATTATCGGGGTCCCAGATTCATAACTTACATGCCAAAAAAGAAGAAGTTGAGGCATCTGGAACATATGCCAAATAAGATGACGTCACTGGATTCTGATAATGACACCAATTTCGAGCATCCTCGTATGCTAGCTTCTGAGGAACAAATTTGTAGCACAGTCCTCTGACTTCCTTGTCTCCATTGTCAAAACAGGCGCTTTGAACTAACACGAAAAATGAGAATAGTAGAAATATAAATTTTATAAGCATATTGAATAGAAAAATGTGAAAAGCTACTCGGGTGGAAGGTATAAGAAGGGAAAATTTTGAGGGGAGGGAGTCATGAAAGAGGTCATAAAATTCGTTAAAGAGAATCACTGATAAGAAGTTTGGAAATAGCGGAAAATTTTGGGATGGACAGTGAATAGGGATGGAGAGTGGAAGAAGACGGAATAGGAAATTTGATAAGAACGGGAAGGATTTTTGAAAAAAAATGACGAGCTTGGGGAACAAAAAAGGAAACACCTTAGTTTAGGATCAGAAGTTCAAATGTTTGAAAAGCGGAGAAAAATTTCTGGACGGATTCAGTTTCGAGCGCTGGGAAAACACTTCTCCACCAACTGTCGCAGTTGTTCTTCATCTTCTTCGGTTCTAAAAGTTAGTGATTTTTTTATTTGAAGAATACAGTAACGGTTAAAAACATAGCAACCGTTGACTTTCCCTGTGCATAGACGCCCACCCTATACATGCACTTTGAGCTCAATTATCTTGGTTCCCATCAGAGATATCGAAAATGTTTTAACTGATAAAATGTTTATCATAAAAGCACCTTTTGATTATTGGACAAGTTTGCACAAAGTTATGAACAATAGTATAGAGTGACACTCACTAATGTTCGCTACTGTATATTTTTTAGTAGACTGATTTTTGATATCTCTCATAGGTATCGAGATAATTGAGCTCAAAGTGGCACGACTCTTCTTTCAGTGCCAGTTTATGATTTTTGACACTTTGTTGGTTTCAAGTGGTATATCTCACTTGGATGAGTTTCTAAAAAATGTGTCCACTACAAAATTTCAGATCTGATTTCGTTTAGTAATTCTGGAAATTTCAGTCTTAACCGACAAAAAGCTTAAAACTTTCCCCTAAAAATTTCTAACATTTTTTTCACTAACCTTGCGTTGACGAAAGGCACAACCGGAACATCAGGATGCGTCGATTTGAAGTGTGGCTGACAAACTTGAGCACGAGTGAAAGATTTCTGGCAGATAATGCATTTCCAACTGAAAATTCAAAATGTTTTAAAGGGTTGAGAGGTATCCATCTTACGTTCTCAATTCTGAATGACTGAGAGCATGGTTTCTAAGTTTGGAGAAGTAAATCCCAACAAGTGCTTTGTTGCAGATTTTGCAATAAATCCTTTTACTTAATTCCTGTTTTGGGCCAGTCTTATCCTCAATATTATCTTCATGCCATGTCTGGCGTATTTCCTTTGGAAAGCACTATCTCTCATTTCCAAAATGTTTTGTTCCTCTTCCTCCGTTCTAAAATTGTAATAATATATTTTCTAAATAATCGCTGGAAGATGTGATGAAACTAACATAGTTCTGACCAGAGGAACAAACTGGATCCCAGGATGAATACTAAGGAAATGTGGTTTACCGGAAGCCGATTGTGCAAACATCGTTTCACACACAGTACATTTCCATCTGAAAATCTAATTAAAATCTATTATTCAAATGATTCATCTTACGTTTTTAAGCATAAATGAGCGGCTGCATGAACTTTGTGATAAAAACTATTTGACTTGATAACTTTTTTGTTACAGAGTCTGCATTCAATCATCTTGGTGGAACTTGATGACTTCTTATCAGACACCGGCTGCTCCTCTAAATCCCCCATCTCCTCCTCAACATCTGGAAAATCCATCTCCATGCTTTCAGCTGCTTCACTTGAGGATGCGTTTTCCACTTTTGGAGTTCCGAGCTCTGTAAAATTACGATTTTGAAAGTACACCATACAACTTGGCACACTATCAACTGGGACGCAACAAATATTGAACTTTCTAAACTCACCTTCATTTGGAATAATGATTTCAACTTCCGGCTTTTCCCGTTTTATCCTTTTCGTTGGCAATCGTGATTGATCTTCAGATGTTTGTGGCTGATTTCGGTATGCTAGATCTAAAAGTTTTAATAATTCAATAATAAACCATTTCATTCGTAACTGTAAAACCTGTATAAAAAGGACCCTCATGATTTCATTTTCTTGAAAAAGTTTGGTTATCTTTTATGAGAACAGACATAAATTTGGTTGAAGAAAACGGCATGAGGGGGTCTTTTTTAGAGATTTTATGGTTTTTTTGTGGAAAATCTTATATTTTTCAAACTCACTCTTTCTTTTGTTCCGAGCAACTCGTTCCATATTAGGTGGCGCATCGATTTCCGGCTCTTCACGTTTCACACTTCCCCTCACCATATGTGGCTCCTCTTCGGACGCTTGTGGTGCATTCGAGGCTTCTGAATCTGAAAATTAGACTAATTTGAATGTGAAACTGCTTATTCGTAACTCACCCGCAACTGGACCATCGTTAGTCACTGCGAACTCCATTTGTTTCTCTGCTAAAAACGCCACCAAACTAGTGAAGGCGGATCCTGCCGGAGTTTTGACAACGATCGTCATGTTGTTTATTCTGTTAGCTAAAACAACGATTTTTGTTTTCTATAGATTAGTCGAGCGAGAAACTGACAGAGAATATAATCATAAAGCATAGACTAGAAAGAGTCCACATCTTTGAGAGGGAACGAAATACAGTACTCAGGTAATTCTGGGGAGAGGTTTGGGGCTTAATTGGAGTTGATGTGGGAGTTACCCGCGAAGTTTGGGAGTTACCCAATTGAAACGGGAGTTACCCAGGTTATTTGGGAGTTACCCATGTGATCTGGAAGTTACCCGTTACGGGGACTATATGGGGGCAAAACAGGGAACGCTGAATTCTAGATTCTCGTTCTTTACAAGCGGGGGCTATGTGGGGAGTAAGTGGGGATTCCCCTTCCGACTGGAAAGAGGGGAACGGGAGATAGATGGAGGATAAATGGGGAGCGCCAACAGAGTATACTGGCACAAGCGGATCCTCGATGACGCAAAATTTTGTTGTAAGTTTGTTTTTGTGATGATTTGTTTTATTTTTTTTTCGATAACCCATATGCTTTCTTCATCGTACCCAAAGCGTTTACGAAGGAAAACGAAAATAAGACTGGTGAGTGCTCTTTCTTGTTTCTATCGAAGATTATTTTATCTGTTCAGGACTGGTGCGAAAAAAAAGGAGAAAGGCAACGATGGTGAAAAACCGAATCGAAAGACAATGATTTTATTGGACCTCCTTCCTCTGTCATTCCCTCTGGTTTTCCTCAAGGATCAGTCTCCGGTCCCTTACTATTTCTCATATTCATCAATGATCTGCTCTTAGAACTTGAACAAATTCCCTCTCTTCACCTTGCCGCCTTTGCTGACGATATCAAACTGTATTCTCATGACCCAATCGCCCTTCAAACTGGTATCAACATGGTTGTAAATTGGGCTTCCGCCAACCATCTCCCTCTTGCCCACTCTAAAACTGCCCTTCTTCGCCTAGGTTCCCATAATTCTTCCCATCCTCTCAATATTGCGGGTGTCACACTTACTCCCTCCTCCTCCGTCCGAGACTTGGGACTCATTACTGATTCCTCTCTCAAATTCTCTGCTCACATCAACAAAATCACACTCTAGCTCTTCTCCGCTCCAAACAACTCTTAAAGTCATTTAGATCTAAGTCTCCAGAATTCTACATTCATCTTTTCAAATGTTATGTTCTCCCGATTCTTGAATATTGTTCTGTAGTTTATTCCCCTCCGTCTTCTTCTCGCCTTGCTCTAAAACTAGAATCTCCCTTAAGATTTTTCTCTAAGTGTATTTTCCAGCGTTGTAATATCCAGTACAGCTCCTACTCTGATCGTCTCTCTATCCTCAATATGCTCTCTATTCGTCATCGTAGGCTAAAAGCTCAACTAATTCTTCTCTATAAATTGTTAAATGGCTCCGCCTACTTTCCTAACCTAAATGCACATGTCAAATACTCCTCCTTCCCTCGTCGCCCTATGAACTTAATTATTGTTCAGCCCTACTCCTCTGACTATTTTTCTTCAATTGTTCCCCTGTGGAACGCCATCACTTCCCAAGTTACCCGATTTCTCCTACCTTCCGAGTTTGAATCCTTAATTTCTTCCAGTATTACCCGCTATTGATTTATTTGCTCCCTATTTTTTCTTTTTCTTTTCTCTTCTTATACCGGTTCGTTGTTCCTGTGTCAAATATCTTAATTATCCCGTTTCCCCTCCCCTACTTAGATCGGCCTCGTGAGGGGCATTTTTTCTGAGTCTTTCATGTCCTGCCCTCTATTGTTTCATTACCTGGTCAATAAATTAATTCAATTCAAAGACTCCAGAGAAAGATCAACAAATCCTGAAGAGAAAAATTGAGAATGTAAGTGTTATGAAAGCGAAGTTCGGAGATATTGAAATTTTGAATTTCAAAAGTTTAGGAATTAAGAAATTTTTCGTTCTAAATATAAAGCATGACAGTATAGAAACACCGAAAATAGTTCTTAAAAATATGAAAATACTGAAATTAGAAGGAAATTCAAAAGTTCTTGAATTCTGAAAATTCGAAGTTCGGAAATTTTCAGAAAACAGTAGAGTTTCATGAAATCTATACGGTTTTAAAATCGCACAAATCATAGACTTTTTAAAATTCTGAAATTTCGTAAAAAATTTCAGAACTTTCCGACACCGGCCCACGATCCAAGGGTACATCGAAAAAGGGTACATCGAGGGTACATCGAGTTCTTAGGGTACATTGGTTCTGAGGGTACATGGGATCTTAGACTGTAAGGCGTTTTAGCCTAA